AATTTTTCGTTAGACTTAATAAATATAACTAAAAAGTTGATATAGAAATTAAGATTCTAGAGCCGTTAGAAGCTTTTCTAATATATTAATAAAAATTGATATGCTTTTTGAAATTGAAGAACCCATACAGAATTAAGAACTACAATATCGAAATTAAGATTCTAGAGCTTTTAGAAGCTTTTCTAATATAATAAAAAAAATCGATATGATTCCTGAACTTTGAGAATCCGCACACAATGTTCCAATGGGTATTTGGTCCCTTTGGTCCCAAAATCCCATTTACACATTGTGTTAAGTGTATATTAGTCAGTGTGCATGTCATAATTATACAGAGCAAATAATTTTATTAGTGTGATAAAAAATGATCAACATAGTGTATTTACTATATATTTACTATGTAATCATATAAAATATCGTGATTTCATTTTATATTTATACAATAAAACCTTTTGTACTACAAATCTGAGTACATTTTGTAATAGATGAGATTGAAATCTATCATTTTAAAGTATTTTTAAATTTATATTCTTCGTTCAAGAAAAGAATCTTGGGTACTTAAAACTCCTAATTTAGTATATATTTACAACAGCCTTTTTACAATTTCAATATGAAAGTTGACCCAGAGTTTATAAACCTTACAGACAATGACAACTATAATGATAATGCCAATAAAAGTACCAAAGAACTACCAACAAAATGGATCAAAGAATCGCCAACGAAAGGACCAAATAATCACCAAAATCACTAAAGAAACCACTAACGAATCACCAACGAACCACTAATGAAAATATCAAAGTACCACCAAAGAATCACTAACGAAAGTACCAAAGAACTACCAATGAACCACCAAAGAAAGGACCAAAAAACCACTAAAACCACCAACGAAACCACCAAAGAATCACTAACAAAAGTACCAAAGAATATCAAAGAACCATCAAACAATAATCAACAAAACACCAAGAGTTTTTAAAAGATAATAAAGAAGAATTAGAATATGACGAAGCATTTCTAAAGCAATTAATAAACTAAGGAGATCCAAGGTTATTAAATGCTGAGGTTGACAATTCAATTTTAATGCAACAGTTGTTTGATATTCAAGAAAATAAACAAAAGTCCAATATATTTTATGCTAAAAGTTTTATCCAAGCATGTAAAATAATCCAAAATGAAAAAATAGATGAATGCAGTTCTGAAAGTGATGATGAAATGGAAGATGATTATGAGCAAGAGTCACAAGAAAAAAATGAATTAGAAATACACAAAAATAGAATATATATCATAGATGAAACATTATCAACTCCATTTACGCCATGTGCAATTATTGATACTATTAATGGAAAATTGCAAACTTGTGGTACAAATAGCAAAAAAAATATTTCTTAATTAGTAGGAACTTGGCAAATTGATACAGATAGCGCAACTAAATTTTTAGATGGAAAAATGAATTTAGGTGTATGTATATCACATTTCAATTATGATTAAAAAAATCATAGTAAACAGACCAAACAATTAAGAAAAACAAAAGATAGTATAGTTAATAAAAGAAGATGTTTATTTTGTAAAAAGAATTATTTTTTTTTAGTTGTAGGATGAATTGCCACCAACATTCTTGGAATGTCTTTAACAGAAATATATAAGTAGCTTGTAATGGACAATTCAGTTGTAATGCACTCAAGACATGTCTAAATATATCTAATTTAGTTAAAGAGGAGTTTCCAAATCCCCAGTATATATGCTACAGCTGTTTTGAAATTAATGGAAGACTAGAGTTCTGGACGAGTCGAGTTAACTCACAAGTCAGATAAGTCGAGTCAAGTTTAAATCAAGTTGAGTTTATGTTTTTTTGACTCGATGATTTGCGAGTCAAGCCAAATTTAAGTCGAGTTAAATATTTAACTCGACTCAATTTAAACTCGACTTGATTTGAGTTGACTCGAGTTGACTTGAACGATAAAAAAAATTGTTCAAGAAGAACGATAACAAATCG